TTTTGTAAATCCAGATATATATATGCATCCAATACGATCGAATTCTCTGATGAATTTTCATGTTATTTCATCTTAATTATGTTAGCAATGTGTGTAAAGTTGATGTATTATTTTTTAGAAATTTATAAATAGTTAAAAATTCTAGCTTTATATATTTTAATAGTATATATTTCAGTTTATTCTGAGATATTTTCTATTTAACACAGCCACAAGTATTTGTTTAAACTATCAAGGATTGTAAAACTATTGAAAATGACGTCAGAACTTTTAATTACTTAATAATTTATATTAAATAATATTTGTGTGCCAGCTTTACACACATATTAGTGATATTATAGATTGTAATATCACATCTTTTTAGTTAATAGAATGTAAAGGATTAAATGAAATATTAAACTTAATACTTTATCTTTATATCAAACTTAAGAATTTTTTTTCAATAAATTACTGGAGCAATCAGCGTATTTTCTTACAAGCGAAAATCTCTCCGAGAAATACTGGAGCGTCAGTTTATATCTTTTCTGCGACGGACGTTCTCGCACGTGATATCGTACACACGGATTCATGTGCCGGATTTATGTGTTCGTTATTTTTATAATTAATATTTTAGAAAAATACTTTGCCATAAATGATAAAGTATCCATTTTTTTATTGTAAAATGTATATAATTTTTGCATAAAAGAATTTTTCATATAAAAGTTCTGTCGTATTTTTATTGCAAGATGGTTTATAACAATAAAGACTAAATCATCCAAAAATTATCCGTAGATTTAATATTAAAGTCGTAGCATGTTATGTGGAAAATTTTATATTTATAAGAAAATGAGAAATAAAACAGAAACATAATTTTTATTTTAGGTTTTATTTCGGCTAGAAGGTTTTTAATTCTCGCGCACAGACAATGATGCGGATTATATTTTTTTTTCTCTCTCCACGGTCACAATTCGAATTTAATTGAATTTTTCCCGCGGGTGTTGGAGATTAATCGGTGGGATCATTTGCCGGTTCGCTCTTCGGGTGTATTCCGCCGGATATCCGCTCGACATTGATACATAGCATTACGATAAAAATTTCCGTACATGCTACATTCGGATCGAATGTATCTAGATTTATCTATGTCTGTAGCCGTTTTTACAAGTTATTTTTGTAAATCCAGATATATATATGCATCCAATACGATCGAATTCTCTGATGAATTTTCATGTTATTTCATCTTAATTATGTTAGCAATGTGTGTAAAGTTGATGTATTATTTTTTAGAAATTTATAAATAGTTAAAAATTCTAGCTTTATATATTTTAATAGTATATATTTCAGTTTATTCTGAGATATTTTCTATTTAACACAGCCACAAGTATTTGTTTAAACTATCAAGGATTGTAAAACTATTGAAAATGACGTCAGAACTTTTAATTACTTAATAATTTATATTAAATAATATTTGTGTGCCAGCTTTACACACATATTAGTGATATTATAGATTGTAATATCACATCTTTTTAGTTAATAGAATGTAAAGGATTAAATGAAATATTAAACTTAATACTTTATCTTTATATCAAACTTAAGAATTTTTTTTCAATAAATTACTGGAGCAATCAGCGTATTTTCTTACAAGCGAAAATCTCTCCGAGAAATACTGGAGCGTCAGTTTATATCTTTTCTGCGACGGACGTTCTCGCACGTGATATCGTACACACGGATTCATGTGCCGGATTTATGTGTTCGTTATTACACTTGTTCATATATTTTCATGCGTATCTAGAGTTTCTTCCTGAGTTTTGACACTTTTACAAACGAGGTACAATTTACTTTATTTCTAGGGACTGCAGATACTCTCAGTTCTATACTGATTTATTTTGTCATCTTTATTTTGATTGTATTGATTCGTAATAATTCAAAATGAGGTATTTGATTCTATCCTTCGTAGAGTGAGAGGACTGTAACACATGGCTCACTTCCTCTATTTCTGTCGTAAATTTCTATAGGAAATGAATTTTTCGTGTTTTTCTAAATGCGATAAATTTTTTCGCAGATTGCTTTTTAAGCAACTTAATATATCGGTCAGCTATCTTCGTAAGAAGAAAATAGAAATAGTAAAACTATATGCCATTAACATCATACAGTAAATGCTATGAGTTGGACACATTCTCTCAGAATCTATAACTGTACCTTTATCATCATAACAATACGTTTATAAAAGATTCTTATAATACTAATATACATATACTGCATATTAATATTAAATGCGAATACGTTGTTTCTTTTAATTAAATATTTCTGCATAATTATGAGATAACGATTAACTGAAATATAGTTTTAGTTAATTTTTTTTAATATGGAAAAATTTGTACACAGAGCGTATTCTATTTTTCTCTTACATACCATGAAATGGTGGATATTTGTGGACATCATATGTGCTTTTGGATAGCGCAATATATATGTACTTACTGCATAGCATATGTGCAAGTTATTAGGGGTTGTATCGTGAAAAGTTTTTAGGAATTTGTCCGCGCCTACTAGAGAGCGGACCAACTTATTCCGCTTGCAGACGAGAAGCACTCTCAGGATTCCGCTTACGGCGAGCATCGAGGAATTTCCTTCATCTCCTAGCATCGATCTTCCATCTAGTGGGAAGTATTCCGAGAACACCGGCTGCATGTCCGATATATATTGGTGTGGATTTATAGCCATGCGGCCTTATATATATGTAGTATATTAATCCCTTCTTTTCCTCTTTTCCTCGCGCGTAGGTCACGTTAGACAAGGAAATCGATATTTTTCCATGTTCACTTTACGATAAAAGGTTTTACATCATACTAAGAAAACATCAATTATCAACGAATTAAACTTATGTACAATCTACGACTCCACATAAGAAACAAACTTATCGTTTTTACGTTTCTCTATCATTTTGAATCATGTATCCAAATGTTTTTTTTTATTTATATAATTATATTCGAAATTATTTGTTGATTGATTGATTTATATTCTATATTAATATAGAAAATAACTTGCAATAAGATTCCGAATTGGTATATTATTATTTTACACCAGGTTCTTCTTCCTAATCAGTGTAAATTTTCTCATTTATTGACAGGAGTTAATTTCGAAAATTGTATTCGAAGCTCTAGGCTCTTCAATATATGTTTGCAAGGTCAATATCTCGGGATGAATGTCATTAATCTAGCTATCCAGGCTATGAGACCATTTAGGAATTTCGATTAGTTCTATGTTAATCACACGTGCAGAGAACCGGGAAGTAATTAACTTTGATGATTCAATTAATATCCAATTTATTAGTTTAATTTATTAAAATATAATTATTCAAAAAATTATTTTTACGTATAAATAGTTTTGTATTAAAATATGGAAATTAAGATTAAATGATATTTTGCATTTATTTTAATCTTTCTCTCTCTCTTTCTCTTTTAGAAGGTTTACGATGCTCAATTTTGCTCATTTTTTTTTTGTTTAATTTTTTATCATATTGAAATATTTCAAAGCTATATATATTTATACGCACAATTTTTCATTTTATATAAATATCCAAAATTATAAGAATGCAATTATCAAGAATGCATTTATTTGCATATTCTTGAATGTAATTTAACAATAATTTTTTTATTTTGGATATAGCTTTCGCACGTTATTCAATGCTTTATTTAAGCTTCAATATATCATAATGTAAAATGTAATCCATCAAAAAATCATATATAGTTTATATACAAAAGACTGAAGTAAATATTTTGTAACATAGGCAAGAACATCGAGTGAATCATTAGAATATTTACGATATTAACGCTCCGAAAAATGAACCATAGTGCGTCAGAATCTGTGAAAAACACAACAGGTGTAATCTCATTAATGTCCTTCAAAAAAAAGGCCGGTGTCCCCGCGATTGGCAGCTGCTTCAGTTGGGAGGCGAAACCGCAAACCCGACAGTATCTCTCGTTCGATACAGGAGCAGCTTCCACGATTTTCGGTTCCCTGCATCTCGCTCGGATTCGCCCGTGCTGTATTTACTTATGTGTTCGCACTTGACTTGCTCGCAACTCGATACCCCCATATCTAATTACGCACAAGTGACACGCATCGCGTCAACATGTGTGTGTGCATAAAGTTACTCATTATATTATGCATTTCTCGCACAAAGCGCACGCCGGCTTTTAACCGCCATAGCGCGAGTTTGAAGTTACATTGAAGACCGGTTTTGCTATTGTGCAAACTTTCCGCCGCTTTGAGAAATTCTGCGAAACTTTAGCTAACCAACAATAACGAATACTCGGATAGATCTAACGGATCTCTTTGAAGAGAGATTATTCGATAGTTGGTTCTCTGAGTCGAGTGAATATAATACATATTTATAAAATCCGTATTATAATATGGCTAATATTAATATAATTTATATAACAAATTTTGATTTTGATTTATTTTATTTTTTTTTTTTTTGACAAAAGATATTATTTTTAATAGCGTAATAAAAAATTAAACTTTTGAATACATTAAAAAAGTGATATAAACTTTGATCGTATTTTATATCAAAAAATAAATAAATTTGATAAATTTTCTCATCTGTTATCGTATTAGATATGATTTGCTGTCATATTCATCCATATGTAGATATATTGACAGCAGCAAATATGATATCTGATTATTAGCTTATAAGTTGACTGGCTGATTCCATATACAGATTAATAGATGTGGGTTGCACTGTTCGTTGAATCTGAATCCTCGCCGCATATGTTTAATGAGATTGATTCTGGTATTCAATCACGTAAAGAGCTTTTCTGATGCGTTGGCTTTAATCTCTATAAATCAATTCTATCAAAGTGCCGTTGCCATTTCACGAGATGTATGATGATTATATATCTCTCTCTCTCTCTCTCTCTATATATATATATATATATATATATATATATCACTCATTTTCTGAATATTTATATCTTCAATTATTACATTATTTAAATATATAACTAATCGGATGATTTTAATTACAGATATCGAAAGAACTTGGCAGTTCCAGTCATAAAAGGACAGCATCATATCTGGTGAGTAATTATTATTTTATTCTTTCAAAAAGCGTCTTTTTTTAAATATAGTTTTTATAATGAGAAAAGAAATTTATGTAGCGATATAAAAAAACTGAAAACAAGTATATCTTTAAATATGTATTTGCATCACTTTATTAAGTTTTGGAAGGGCGATAAAATATTGTAATTGTTACTGTTATATCGCGCAGTTAAATACAAGTTTTTATTGTTGCGTCCCTGGATTTCATCTGGAGATCGTCTCTGAGCGCAACATTAAAAAAAAATATTAATCAATATAGTAAAATATTCGTCAAATATATATATAGTATGTGATGGAACTGTCTTTTTTAGCAATACAATTATTATTGAAACATGAAAAAGCAGTTTACAAAAGTAAAATTTACGTTACATTTTTCTGGTAAACTGCGCGGCACAAGCTGGACAAAAAGAAAGTTAGGCATAAGAAGCGAAAAAGGCTTCTTGAACTTTGTAATCTTATGAAAGTTTGCGAGATGGAGGCGTCTGTGGCGTTAATAACCTCATGCATCATCTGCGGGCGAAAAAATTCTTCATTGGCCGCTGACGCAGCAATAAAAAAAAATGTAGTGGTTTAATTGATCTCAATGTACATTCAGTCAAAGCATGACATGTCAAATGCGCAGGTTGATTATTGACAAATACTGCTAACAAAATTATCAAATGACGGGATAAATATGAAATTTTTGCTTTTATTAAGTCTTTCTTGACAACATAATTTTGTTATTATTTTATATTAAATTATCCAATAAAAATCAACTTTTTATTAAACGTTTAATTATTAAACGTGATATTCACATATTAAATGAATAATGCATTGAAAAGCTTAACATACGCTGCGTGTATTATTTTATTCTGGTTTGCAACATTTCGATATTATTATATTCCACACGTTCAACCAGATCACGTCTGGATTCAGTCTAGTGGATTATGAAATTATGGGAAACTGTGTTTTTCCGACTGCGTCAAAGGCAAACTGATGGTGTATTCTGGTATTTTGCCAAAACGAAAGCAAAATGGACACGAAAACGAGAAGAGAGGTAAACCTAAAAGGGAGATAAAAGGATGAAAGCAAACCAAAAAATACGTGATAACGCGAGAACACACGATATAAATGGCAGTCGCATGCAATCCACACCTGCGGCTTTTTAAATAAATATCGAATTACCTTTTTTTGGCAAATTTAAAAGATCGAAAGTGGGAATTTGTTTCTCAATCATTAATTGATGTCTTTTTTAGCTGTTCCATATTTATTCGTATAGTTAAATGCGATAAAGGTTTTAAAACTCGATAGGAAATATTTATGGTTAGTAATCTGAACC